TCTCGCTCGCCTCTCTCCTCCCTCTCCCAATCTCGCTTGCTATATATACAATTGCATATGTATAATATAGAATTATCTAGCCTATATACATATACAATTCACCTCTCTCCCACTCTCTGCCCTCTCTCGCTCGCCTCTCTCCTCCATCTCCGAATCTCGCTCGCCTCTCTCCTCCCTCTCCCAATCTCGCTTGCTATATATACAATTGCATATGTATAATATAGAATTATCTAGCCTATATACATATACAATTCACCTCTCTCCCACTCTCTGCCCTCTCTCGCTCGCCTCTCTCCTCCATCTCCGAATCTCGCTCGCCTCTCTCCTCCCTCTCCCAATCTCGCTTGCCATATATACAAATACATATGTATAATATACAATTATCTAACCTATATACATATACAATTCACCTTTCTCCCACTTTTTGCCCCCTCTCTCTCGCCTCTCTCCTCTCTCTCCCAGTCTCGCTCGCCTCTCTCCTCCATATAACATGTAGCTACGAATTGTAATTATCAAACTATAGCTATGGAAAGTAATTAGGCTATTTTTGAGTGGCGATATGTGAAAGTTCTCCTTTATAAATTACATGGCGGAATAAGATTGGGCTGCAATTTTCGTAAAATGGGTTATTTTGCAAATCGTCCCATTGCACTAAATGAGTCGGTATTCATCGGGGCGGGTCATAACCTATGAATGTCAAACAGGTTCGAAGAGGAGATCGTCACTGTAGAGATTCAATTTTTATGGTAGCAGAGAAAAAATGGCTGCTCAAGAAGAAGTAAAACAACTGTCAGAGTGCTCAGTCTCCAAGTTAGTTTCCTTTATCTTCGTCAATATCACCTGTCCCTTTATTTGACAAAAGTAGACATTCTTTTATCTCAAAAAATTTCTGAATCTATAGGCAGAATATTTTTTCGCCTGTTAGGATATTAGGAAAGAAATTTTAGGTTGAAACGTTCTATGCTTCTCCTTTCAAAGAACCAATCAAATTTTTGAGGATGCCAAATTTTGTTTTTCCTTTCCCGGTGAGGATGTCAAATTAACAAAAGGGAAGATGGTTAATAATTTCATCATTTGGATTTCAATCTTTATCATCTCAAAAAATTACTTTTGAATCAAAACGATAATTAAATCGACAATAATTGAACATTTAATCTGTCACTAAGGGTCCTGGTACGCAGACTAAATTATTCTGGGATTATCCCACCTCGGAGTTGGTATAAAATAATCCCAAGTTGGGTTGGATAAGGTGGGATACCCATGATTAAGTGTGGGATAAATTTAGTGCTGCATTTCGTTGACGGTATAAATATCATCTTATCCCACATACCAAACGACCCCTTAAGCCAAAATTGCAATACCTTTCAATGATGTTGAAATGAAGAGGATGAAGTCCAGGACTTTTTTCTTCTTCTTCTTTGAAAGGGAAATGGGTGAGAGGATTACAAACCCTGAAAGTGCAGGTAGACAATCAACCGAGCTTCTAAGATTCCCAAGTCCAGTACTGAAATACCAGTAGAAGCAAAATAATTAGGCAATTTGTTTCAAGTGGCTTAAACAAATGCTGAGGGTGTCTCAAAGGTCAGTGTCTTATTTTCTTACCTTAGAATTAACGGAAGTGGAACCTTGCTTAATTTGGGGATGATATAGTATTACAGAGTCATTGAGTTATTCCCTCTTATCTCTTTTCCCTTCTTTGTCTGTCAAAAAGATTTGATCTATTTCCTTGTATGGAATTTTTGTCCTCCAACAATAAACAAATATTAACTAGAGTATTTCATGTGAGTCTTCACTTTTTGATATTGCGAACCTTTGAAGCTTAAGCACTTGTTTTAGGCAAACATTTCACTCTTAATAACTGTGTGAGTCAAAGCAGGTCATGTTTGATAGAGTGGAGGTAGTACCATATATAAATGCTTTTGTTCAATAGGAAGATTGGAACAACGTTGAAGGCAAGGGTGGGAATAATGGCGTCAGTATAATAAGTAGTGCCACACCCTTTGGGCTCGGGGTGGCCCAGTGGTTTGGGCTTGGAACTTCCATGTTGGAGGTCTCAAGTTCGGAACCCCTTGCCAGCGAAAGCAAGGGGTTTGCCTTCTGGGTCGAGCTCGTCGCACCAAGCTTGCCTAGTGCGGGTTACCTCTCCTATGTGATTTGCAAGCTATTGCATAGGAGCGGAGGTTTTACCCTGTGCGCACCCAAAGGGTAGCGGCTACGGTTTCCCTTGTCATCAAAAAAATAAAATAATATGTAGTGCCACACCCCTTTCATTGCCTTTCTAGTTCCTTTTAGGGTCATCATGCCTTGTACCGCATATGATAGCAGTATCGTACAGGTGAAATGTTCACAGGAAAGTTATGAGAAACCAGTATGATGGATGATATTTATCCACACCTCGTTTGGTCGAATTTTCATGGCACTGAGTATGTGCTTCATCTTCTAAACTTGCTATTTGCTTCCTTCTATTTTTATAAATTGTGGACGTCTTTGCTTTTCTATCTGGTGTATGTTCTTTGCAAATAAACTTTCACGAGCTTCTGGTTATCACACTGTATAAAATGAGTCACTTTCATCTTGTCATTTGAAGTAATTCTTCTTTGATTGAATTCAGTGTTTCTATTTCGTCTTGGAGTTTTCAGACAACTTCAAGCTACAACGGTCATGTTCTTCTACCTTTCTCATTTTTAAGTATTCTTTAGCTCTGAACAATAAGAATAACTATCCCTCAATTCTAAACAAGTTGGGGTAGGCTATATGAATCCTCATTGACAATGTTTCTTGGTTTAAACTAATCTCATGCCAACATATTTTTGATAACATTTTACAAAAAAGAAATTATATAAGAAGTATTAGAAGTTCTCTAGTCCAGAACATGTCTAAGATTTTTCAGGCCTTGGGAGCTTGTGTGATGATTTCTTCTCCCAGGTAAATTTTTTGAAGGAAAAGGGTAACAAATTGGAATATATTTGATCTCCATGAGAATTGCAGCTGTGACGTAGTTTCTCATTCGTATCATGCAGATATTATATTACTCTGTCATGGCATTCCCAAAATCAACAATGGAAAATTCAATGTTCATGAATGTCTTTATGTATCTATTATGCAGAGAATTTGAAATTCGTGCTCCTAATACATGTGTGTTTTTTTTCTTCTTGAGATGGGTATTAAAGCTTAAACTTGGAGATGGTATTGAAACAGTTATGTTATTTTGGGTTCTAAGACAAATGTTTTTCCTCGACTAGTGCTTTGAGCTTACCTCCTGGCAATCAGGCAATGCACGGGATACCACAAATTCTGAATGTGAATGTTTGTATCTGTCATGAGAGAAATTGAATTCATGCTATACTTTGTTCTAATGAACTTGGTATAATCATGATTGCCTATATATGGGTCATGTTGCTTGTCTTATTTATTCTAGTCCGGAACTTTCTGGTCTGATATTTAAATTACTGCAGTGCTCTGGGGACATGGGTTTTTTCTGTAGCTGGTGCACTGCTTGCGATTCCGGTGGGTATTAAACGGAAATCTTTGGCACCCCTTGTATTCTTTGGCACAACTGGTACGATGCTAGATATAATTATGGGTATCAGTGCTTGTGAAAGGGAGCATGCAGAACGGCAAATGAAGCTTTTGGAAGAAGCACAAGGATCTGCAGCTGTTGATACCTTGGCTGATACAGCAACTGAACATTGATGGCATTCGGGTCGCTCTGGATTTTGTCTTCAACTAATAGCTGAGGATTCATGACTTCATGTAGCATTTTGAGTACTGTTTGCCTTCAGTTTCCGCTTTACTTGGCTTGTAACTAGGATATTATCATTAGAAGAAAAGAAGGCAAATAATGTGTGGGGTGATTGCACTTGAGATGTGGCTTCAGAACTATCTTTTTTCCGCTTCTTAAAAAGCTTTCTATTAGTTACCATGTAGAGAAGTCCATAATAACTCCATCATGGCCTGATGGTTTTTTAACACTTTCATACCTTGAGTTTGTTTTTACGTTCTTGTGCTTATGAAAGAGGTTTACTTAACCTCGTACTCTATTTCATTTCATTGTGCAGCAAACTATAGTTGGCAACTTGGAATCTAAAGCTCTTTTGAATATGAAAACTCATCAGCCAGCTTTTAGACAAATAATAAAGTTTTGTTGTTGCTGTAGGAGTAGCTTCTTAAACTAGTTCAAATAATATGAGACCACCCATGTCTTCATTTTTAGGTACAACCCCTTCGTTGCAATTCGTCTTTTTTAGCAATCTGTCACTCCGAGAAACTTGACCAAGTTCATATCGCGATCAAGACCTTGTTCTAGTTTTCACCATAGCTCATCTTTTTCAGACCCAAAACTTAAATGATTTTCTCGTGTTTAGGAAAATTCAAAATCGAAGTTCTGGTACAAACATCTTTAGTTTATGTAAAGGATTGAAATGCTTTTTGAAACAGCATGTTTGAGCATCTTGTGGCCTGGACTGGAGAACGTCCACTCACCTAAGCCTTTAGCCACAAAATGAATTTCTATGTGCAAGCATATTGCACCCTGATAACTTCGCCTCAATCCCACATAAATTAGAGTCATCAACTATATGAATCCTCACTAAATTTGTCACTTCATTTGAGCCTATCGCAAACTCATATTATTCAACAAATAATTCTTTTCTTTTTCTATTAGCATATAAGTAGCTGACAGGACTAAAATACTTCTAAAGAACAGGTGAAGTAACCATACTACATCACAATCACAATGACATTTTCCCTTTACATGATGCGGGTCTGGCTTGGGTAAAACATAGCACCTGAATACAGCAGAAGCGAACGCACCCAGCTCAACCCAACCTTTCCTCCCCAGGAGAATATTACTCAAAATCAATTTTGTCTATAGAAGAAGCATCCTTTAGACAAAACGAACTATGCAGAAGCATTTATAGGGATATTATTCAAGATGGTATATTCTTCACTCAAGGAGTCCAGAAAAAGAATTCCCAATTATGAGTTTATGAAAAACACATGAATTCTTCTGAGAACATTGATAATTGAAACATTTATAGATAAAAAGAACTCCTATACTTGATTGACATCAGATATAAAGGACGGCAGAGAAACAGAGATCATCTCGTACCTCCCACATTCGCAATCTCTTGTTGCATTAATAGTAACTTTCAATTTCAAAGGACTGTTATTCTCCTGTTGCAGTAGCAACTTCAACAAAATTAACCAAACCAAATAGAAATTTGGTCTTACATCAAATTTATTTTTTTCTTTCAATTCCTTGCCCTCATTGGCGCGTGATGTGTCAGTGACTGAAACACCTTCCCCAGCAACACTATGTTTAAGCACCGTACTTTCAGCCATGCCCTGCTTTCTGGAGACTAAATTTGAAGCATGATTGGTTCTATCCTGCCTTTTGTAACAAGAGAACACATCTTCAGCTCTGATGTTTCCAAACAACATTTCAGCTGCCTTGTTTTTAACAAGAAGTGGAACATACATTGAATCATCCCACACATATAGCTGCAAAATTGAAATAGTACCTTAAAAAGTCTCCAAATAAACAACGATAAACTAACAAATAATCGGTTAGGTGCACCTTATGGAACTTACGATAATTTCTGCTCTGAAAGTAAATATCTCACACACCCATCATTATAGTTGAGTGAACACAATGTCAATGAGTTTGAAAAATATCTTGATACTAGTGTCAACTAGAGTTGTGAAGTTTCAGTACCAACATGGACATAAAAACTTCAGGTGACAAATCCCATGGCTTGGAATGAAAAATGCAATGTAAGTAGTAATGGTGATGGGGTTTTCTGGAGCTAATTTACAAGAAAAAGAATGTTACCCGTTGAAAGAAAAACTCTTACCATGAAAGGTCGATAGATCATGCTCACTGCATGAAGGTGATTGGAGCTCTCCTGACAATAGAGTGATGAGGCATTTTTAATACTGCCTGAACTGTTGAAACCACAATGATTTTGCAGTTACTAAATGTTAATAGACATATTATAGGCATATACATATGGAAAGAGGACTGGTTCAGCTTTTCCTCTTACCTAGATTCATCACTCAAAGGAGTACCGCATAGATGGCAGCCAGCAGTAATCAGATCATCAGCCACATTGCAATCTGAGTGTACATATAGCCTCTTGCTAATGAACATGCTTCCAACATCAGATTCAGGAAGATGTCTCCAGGTAATTGGCAGAAATAATTCACCAACAGATGCATATATGGTTGTCTTGCAGGAATCAGGAAGATCAGATAAATATTTAAGAGAGATGCAATCCTGAGATTTCGTCTCTTCATGCACTTTCCAATTAATAGATGCCTGCTTCCATTGCAAATCCATGAGGCCAGCATTCATTATTATATGTCATAAAGCAAGTCAATTGACAAATACCCTTTTAACTGGAGTCATTTGACAACAGATGTGAAGTAATACGCAGGTATGCTCTTATCACTATCACATGGATACCAATCAATCTTGAAATACTATTTTTGAAAATCAGTACTAAGCAATAAAAGCCATAGCTTTCTTCCATCAAACAATGATAAGAGTACTTAGACCTTCCTTATTTTGACAAATAACATATCCTCTTTACCAGTAAAAGTTGGTGGTTTTAATTTCAGCACAACTGGGACAAATTATCGTATTGCATCTTCTACAGAAATAACCCAGAAAGGTCTTAAATATTAAATTCAAATCCTAATCTTGAACTTTGTAAAAGCTAAAATAAAGAAAATTATCCAAACTGATATTTCCATTATTTCCTAGGTAAATACAATAATGATTGAGGGTAAAATAGGAGCAACAAATTTAAAAACTTTTTAATCAAATGATTGCTTTTAGTGGTCCCAGTAGAGGCATGGAAAGTTTCTACTAGAGGAGTTTTAAGATAATTCTCAAACTATAGGGGAGATCCATTTAGTTCCAGTAAACTAGAGCGGAGGTCCAAGTATTCACCCAAAGTTAATTCATTAACTAAATCTGCTTGCCAAATTGTTTTGTTTTCTATAGTATCAGAAAACAAATCATTAATTAAATAAGAACGAAAGGCACTTATAAGTTGGTGCAAAACTGTTCCTAGCAGGTGCAACAGTGCACTAGGATATCCAAATCTTAAGAACTAAAACTCTTCGGCTTGAGCCAAGTGGGGTGGGGTTTGATCCGATAATGCAGCCTGAAATACATAACCGAGGACAAGATAGTCTACAAATAAATCATTTTGCAGCATAAATACATCTAAAATTTGGACTTCATCAACTGTGGAAACTAATTAAGAGAAGAATTGAAACCTCCTACATCTCAGCCATGTGATTGGCCATGGGGAAGTTAGAAATTTGAGAAGGAGAAAAGGGTGCTTGATCAATGAACTCTAGTCTCTACTCAAGTCTATGTGATTTCAAATTTACAACAGCAGTTCCAAGAGAAAGAGGATATACTTGATGGTTTTTCAATTCAACAGCAGCTCCCTGCTGCAGCAATGTAACAATTTTCTGAAGCTTATCCTTTGATGCCGTACCAATTCGACAACTGCGCATCAGATCGTCCACACCTGCAAAGACGTTAAGTCAATATCTTAGCCCAGGTCAGGAGCAGACTGGTTTAATTTCAGCCAAACTACAGATATTGAAAAAAAAACACTAAACAAACAGTATAAACCTTATGAAATCTTTTTGATCCCATTCTTATATTTCACTTCTTTATGCTTGTGAAGAACTAATGTTGAGACAAAATATAAAGTTTTTAAGTACGTGAAGTCTCATCAGAGCAGAAATTAATTTATTTCAGGCACTCATGACAAGTAAAGCATGGCTAAATCAAGTTTTCTGTCCAACATGTTTTGGTGGTGCCACATGGGAGTCGAAGACTAATTTTTCAAGCCTCCCTAGAAGTATAGCAATCCAGTGGCAACCTTACTACAAGAGGAGTCTGATTCGCACTCAGCAATTATTTGGTTGAACTATATAAAACTTTAGATTAATCTATTCGGAGAAAGGCTAATGATAAAGCTGCGTATAAGTTTTTTCTTTTCATGTTAGTAAGAAAGATAATGTTAGCTAATAGATAAGCTTCCTGTTACTACAGTCTACAGATTAAGGGTGTGATTTCCCAAGATTACACATTTACGGTTGATGAGAAGTTTGCAAGAGGTTAAAAGTAGCTGATTAGAGAAATAAATTTCTTTATTGAGTTTTTTTATGGCTGAAAGCATGTTTTATTGGTTATGGATTCTTCTTGTTAAATCTCAACCTTTTTTTTCCAGAAAACTCCCTTTTCTAGAACTGCTGATTAGACAAGGAGGGATCCATTCTCTGAATAACTGAACCAACACCTTGAGGTTATGCTATTCTCAGTCTAGTAAGGACTGGGCACTTGTGAGCATTGTTATCATTTTTAACAAGTTTAACAATTTACATGCATATCACATCAAGGTACTGCAAAAAAGAAAAAGAATAAAGGAAATGCGATCAATTTATTGTAATCAATAGTTAGCATGTTGGTCAACTGCACTCTAATATGCAAGGAACAAAAGTTCATTGGCATATCACATTATAAATGGGTTCCAAAGAGGTTCAACGAAAAAAGGAAAAGTGCACTTCTTTATCATCTGCAAGAAAGAAAGAAAGAGCGGGCAAACAAAGACTTTCAATATAAAGTATTATATCATGAAGATAGAAATGGTGTTCAAAATGAAAGATATCGTAGGAGAAACAGGCGTTCAATTTATGTTAGTTTCATCAGTTTGTAACTCAATATACTAGCCTCCTGAAGGTTAACTTAGTGGCATCACCCAATTATTCAGAGAAGATTACATATATTTGGCATCTAAACATGCAGTCTTCTTGGGCTCTGCCCCCTGGAAATCAGTAAATGCTAGACAGACATTAAGGACTTCTTTTTCAATTCTAGTCACACCCTCTACAACAATTGATCTAGTCATGTATTCCTGATACTCCAAAGCTTGATCATATCTACCAAAGATAATGTATCGAAGAACCTTATGAGTTGTAGAGAGAGAAAGAGAAAGAGAGAAAGAGAGAAGAGAGTACCTTTAGAAGCAATTGACTTGTATGAATGGACTATACATTGCAAAGTTGAGCAATGTACAGTTCTAGCCTCAATTAATCCGCTAACTCTTGTAATCTTAACATCTGAAATAAAAAAGTTATATGCATTACCTGAAGATTGGAGCAACATCATTATTTGAAAACTAAAGTTTAGAACACACAAACTCACATATTCAAGAGTTTTTAACAATGCTGATTAATATGTTCACCTGATCAACAATGCAAGCATAACAGATTCCATGTAAGTGAGACGGAGGGAGGATGAGACAGCATTATGAGATAATGAATTTAGAAAGTCTTTTGAGGCAATGACTGACCAGTGAGCACTATTACACCACAAACAAATTCTATGCTGCATACTATGTTTGAGAAGCTGTTTACATATAAATTCAAACCGAAACTTGTTATTTTCCATGGGCTCTTGGAACATCAACAAGAAATAGACAAATGAAAAGAGAAGACAACAAGAAAGTTCAATAATTTCAAAGTCACCAGTCATATACGCTTCGTCCCAATTTATGTGGCACACTTGGAATTTCGAGGGTAAACCAAGTTTTTCTTTGACTGGAATTGTTTTATATGTCTTCTAAATAATTTAAGTTGTTAATCATTGTGATGTAAAGTACTCTTTTTACATAGTTTACAAATATATAAATTTTTATTTCAAAAAACTTAACGTTTGTATGTCTGAAATCACGGTCAAAATTTAGAAGTTTGAATCTCGAAAGTCAACTCTGCCATATAAATCGGGACAAAGGGAGGTATTGCTCGTTCACACTTAGAAGATGTTATGATTAAATTTCTGAAATTTAAATCCCATCTGTATTCTTGTTGAGTTATAGAATATGTATGCCACATATGGCATCAGTCATGAGTCACTCACAATTTTAGAATTAAACTATAAATATACTGCGTTGAAATATTTTAAAATTATAACATTTCACAGCTCGTGATAAACGAAAAACAATAACATAACGGTCGATAAATATTTCAACTCCCCAAAAAACTTACTTTGAAGCAAAACGATATCTCCAGCAACCAATGTGGAGGCCAATTGCTTGTTCCATATTGTAACAGGAAAAAATGGACGGGTATCGTCAGCCACCTGTATGTCGGTCCTTATGACCTCTGCTCCACCTTTTCTCCTCCATAGCTTGTACTGCAAAATTATATATGTGCTGAACTGAAAGTACCTAATTAAGCCATTAGATACAGAGGGAAAGAGAGAATACCTGAATTGGGGTGATATTGTGAACAAAAACGAGGAGTTGGACGTACTCGTCGATGTGACCTGCTGCTTTAGAGAGGTCGATTAGAGGACCATAACATACTATTGCCGCCATTTTCTTTCTCTCCTCTGGTTTTGCTTATGCTTTCTTACTTCTTCTCTTTTGGGCTTTTCATGACCCGACTTTCATTATCCCAGCCCGCTACTTGAGAAGGGTTGGGTTACGATTGTGGGCCCATTGGAAAACTTGTAGAAGTCCACTAGTTTAGAAGCTAAATAACATAGTTTGAAATATTACTTATTAGATTTTGATGCCTCCAGCACTTCAAGTACGTCCATACACATGTATTTCAATATATATGAAGTCAAAATTATGTATAATTTGTTCTATATACATTGTATCAAAGTGGATTCTTACCACTAATTAAGAGTTTTCTACCATATATTAAGAAAGATAAACCTAGATACATGTATTTTTGCTACAACATACATAAAATAGGGGAAAGACGAGCAAGATAGGGAGGGAGATAGTCATGTATCCCAAATACACACAAATCACACTAGATACACATTAGATATATATATATATATATATATCTAATGTGTATCTAGTGTGATTTGTGTGTATTTGGGATACATGACTATCTCCCTCCCTATCTTGCTCGTCTTTCCCCTATTTTATGTATGTTGTAGCAAAAATACATGTATCTAGGTTTATCTTTCTTAATATATGGTAGAAAACTCTTAATTAGTGGTAAAATACGTCATTATTTGAAAGTATAGGTAATATATATATATATGTCTAATAAGAGAGTTTTTCCAATAAAATTTAGGAAAAACTACCTAATTGGACATACACACATACTATATTTACTAATCTACTATCAAGTATGTACTTTCAAATAATTACATATTATCCCACTATTTTAAATTAGGGAAAAAGGACAAATTTACCCTCAAATTTTGATAAATGGTACGTCTATGCCCTCCGTTATACTTTGCGTCCATCTCAGTCCCTGCCGTCCAATTATCGGTACATACATGCCCTTCTCACTAACGGCCCCCTCATTTTGTACACGTGTCTAAATCCTAAGCAACTACCTGTTTGACCATTGCTTTTAACCCATAAACTAATAACCCGCCCCATAAATCCAATACCCACCCGATTCACTCTAAAAAATCCTAAGTCAATTAAAAGACTCAAAAGGTACAAACCAATTCAAATTTAGACAAACTACTTTTATTACACTACATATCTTCTAGTAAAACAGAGCTTAATTAATATGCATCATAACCAAATCAACCCAAAATTTAAACATAAATAAGAACCAAAATGCTAGAATTTTAAATTTTGTAAACAAAACATTAATTGATCAAGTGCATTTGGTCCACTGCAATAATTCAGAATATGATTCCACACCCACTGAACCAAAAATTTCCTTCTCAACCCATTTAGGGATGGCAATGGAGCAGGACGGATGAGGAGCGGGGCGGGTATGGCTTTATGCGGGTGCAGGACGGGGTGGGGCGGGTTGAAACTTCTTTTAAGGAATGTAAGGTGGGTGCGGGGCGGGGCGGGTGCGGGTTGTGGAAATTGCAACTCCCTCTCAAAATATACTAGCCACTTTCTTCCACTTTCTTTTGCTTCAAGTTTTTGGTGGAGTTCACTTTACAAAACTTAACATTGTTTTATATTTTTATTGATATCAATCATTTATTTAGTTCTCAATGAGATGTTCTACAAGATTTCAACTACTCAATTTCACTTAATTAGTTTCTAATATTGAGAAAAATATGTATAAGTTAGTCCATACTTCTCTCTTTAGCTACTTTATTATTGCTTTTTTCCAAATATTTTGACACTCTACACTATAATATTCTGGAAACACTTTAGCTACACTATAATGAAGCCTTATCATTTTCTTGAAATTGTATTATTTTGTGTTTGACAAAAAAAATAAATTAGAAACCAAATAAAACATAAGTTTGACCCACAGATTCACTAACCCCTTCTATTAAACAAGAAAAAATATGTATATCCCCAATTACATGATTGAGACAATGATCTCTCTGTATATGTATATGCTAGTAGGAAATAGTATAACAGTTACACGTTTATTTATTTAGCAGAAAAATAAAACTCAATTAAGAAAGAAAAAAACCTATGAGGGGTGGAGCGGAGCGGAGCGGGGCGGGTTAGTATGTTTGCGGATCTATGCGGGTTTGCCCCCACAACCACCCCGCCCCGCCCCTTTGCCATCCCTAACCCCATTCATATTATACATAGCACCATCTTCTCCGTTCAACATTTGCCCTGTATACGACCCACCACTGTCGGTACCGTAAATCCCTTCACAAAGATCCGCAATCTCTACCGGAAAACTCGGGTCCTGACCCGCATACCAAGCGTTAACTAATGGGTTCGTTGATACCTCTGCAATTTCATGAGCAATCACGCTTATCATTCCGTCAACACCCACGTCGTTGTTCGGGGATTTCATAGCTTTGAAACCCGACATGTAACTTGGTACGGAAAATGGGTATGCGCAAGTACCTGGACAGAGTTTAGCGGAGTTACCTATCCAAGCGTACGGTAAATGTTAATACTTAGAAGCTATTAGAAAATATCAATTCTAGTATACTTAGTTTCAACTTATTATAGTTTATACATTGTGTATATATATGGAACTTAGCATATTGTAAAGACAGAGGACTCTACATAGATGAAATAAAATATTTATTTTTCTCTCTCCATTCCACCGACTCCATGGAAATATATCTCGATTTCTCTTTCGAATTTGAAGTGTAACATGGTATCAGAGCAGGTGATTGTGCAGCTCTTCACCTCAGCTTTCGAGCGATGCTACTCTTGCTATGATTTTTTAATTTTTTTTTTTTGAGTTTCACCAACCCATAGATGAGAAGTTAGGGTTTCAGGCTACTATTGATTTCTAGATGACGATGAAGGTTTTCTGATCTGCTGCAGAATATTTTCTTCCGTTGCTGAAGTGTTTTGGTATTGTGTTCCTCTTCGTTGATCGATTTATCCTAGTTTTCTAGTTTCAGTTCCTTGTTTGCGAAATGCCAACTTCTCCATCTACCACTGCTAGTGCGTCGACATGAGGCTTTACTTCTTTCACGGTCGAGTTTTCGCATCCATATATTTTGCATCCTTCTGATAGCCCAGGCACAATCTTAGTCACTAATAAGTTCAATGGCACTGGGTATGGGAGTTGGAGGAGGAACATGTTGATAGGACTCTCTTGTAAGAACAAATTAGGGCTTATTAATGGAACCCTACATAGACCAGCTCCAAATACTCCTCTTTCCGAGCCATGGACAAGGGCAAATGATATGGTCCTTGCTTGGTTATTGAATAGTCTTGAACTTGAGATTAGGGAGAGTGTCATGTACACTGATTTTGCAGATAAGCTATAGTTAGATATCTAGAGGAGATATGGACAGGCGAATAGGACTAAAGTCCATCAAATTAGGAAAGAGATTGCTTCCATTACCCAAGGGTGGGTCTTCAAATATTGCTTTCTATTTTTCTAAAATCAAGAAATTATGGGATGAACTTGCATATTCACTTACATATCCTGATTGCACATGTGGTTGCAAAGAAGCTTTTCAAAAGATGGAAGAGGAACAAAGATTACATCAGTTGTTGATGGGTTTAAATGAGGTTTATTCAGGAGAAACATTTTGATGCTTAAACCACTTCCTGATGTGGATACTGCTTATTCTATGCTGATTAATGATGAGAGTCAACTTGAAGCGCATACTGTGACTCCCTCTTTTAACATAGATGCTGCTTCTTTTTCAGCTGGGGTACACAGAACCCCTTACCCTCCTAGGCCTCAATATCCACAGAAGGTGAATTTTGATAACAAAAGGAACAATTTGTTCTGTCGCTATTGCAAGAAACTTGGTCATGTTATTGGAAATTGTAGGAAGCTTTAACATCAGAATTCTTCTCAGCCTAACCAGTATAATTCTCACAACACCACCCCTGCAACTTCCACTTCGTATAGGAGGTATGCTATTGCTTGTGTTCAGGGTGTTGATTCACACTCTAATGCGAGGTCTGAGGTTTCAGGGAAGTCGAATCAAGCTAATGTTTCTAATGTGGCTCCATTTTCACCAGATCAGTTAACTCACATGATGAATATGTTACAGCAGATGAAGAATACGTACCTTGACCAGAACGAAACTGATTCTGCCATCTATGCAGGTTTAGTGAACACTTCTGATTTTAGAAATTATTGTTTTCTTGCTTGTCACATGTCTAGGATAGTTGATAATCCTTGGAACATAGACTCAGGTGCTAGTAATCACATGACCCCGATTAAATCTTTCCTCACTGACATCACTTCTCTTCCTATTCCTTATCTCATTACTTTGCCTAATGGTTATATGGTGAAAGTTACTTGTACTGGAACACTTACTCTGTCCCCTGACTTAGTGTTAACAAATGTTCTTTATGTGCCTTCTTTTCAGTATAACTTGATTTCTGTACACAAGTTATTAGTCTAATTCAATTGTGGAGCTTACTTTACTACTTCTACTTGTGTTCTACAGGGCCCTTCTCTGAAGAGGCCACTGGAGCTTGGTAAAGTGTCTCAAGGGCTCTACATTCTGCATCCCAAGTCTCTTTCTACTTCCCATTATGTCAATTCCATTGCGGCTACTACTTGTGTTGATAATAAAGCTGCTGCTACTTCTATTACCTCTATTGACAATAACACTACTGTTCCTTTAAATAACCATATTGTTTCTGATTCTGTTTCAATGTCTATATGCATGCCTTCTTTTATTTGTTCTTCTGTTCAGAGTGATCTTGCTTTACTTTGGCATTTGAGATTAGGCCATATGCCTTATCATAAGATGAAATCCATTGCTGATATAAATGCTCAATTACCTAAGAAACAAGACTTCATTTGTAAAGTGTGTCCTATGGCTAGACAACAAAGACTAGCATTTCCTGAAAGTTCCATCAAAACATCATGCCCTTTTCAGCTCTTTCACATTGATCTTTGGGGACCCTACCACACCCAAACTTACAATGGTTATAAACATTTTCTTACCATAGGGGATGATTTTTCTAGAGCCACTTGGACACACTTACTGTCTACTAAGTCAAATGCCTTTTCCCTTATC